TATGTGTGTATGTATATATATGTGTATATGTGTGTATGTATATATATGTGTATATGTGTGTATGTATATATATATGTGTATATGTATATACGTGTATATATATGTGTATATGTATATACGTGTATATATATATATATATATATCAGTCATACCTCCAAGTTCCAACACGATGCTTGAAGGGCAGACTGCCTCAGCCTGATCATGGACTTATCGCACCGTGTGTGGGGCACAAGGAGAAATCTGCTTCTTGAAAAATGTCGGCTGGCACGATTGTAAGACTCACCATTAAATATGATCGAAGGTAATGGCTTTTTCAAGCCATCACTCATAATATGATGGTGTATTAGATGGTCCCAGCTGAGCATTTCGCCAGCTATCATCATACCGGGCCTTTGATGGATGGTGCAAGTGGCAGCGGTGGTTAACGTCAGACCAAACCAACACATTTTGGTTTAATACAGTTAAAGCTCTGACGAAAGTGTCTCCTTCAACAGAAGAGATCAGCAATTCAGTGACACTGACATTCAGTGACATTTAGTGGCAGATGCTTTGGATTTCAACTCAGACACCATCCTGCTGTCCAAAGATCAGTGATCCTGACGTGCTGCTGTAGCGATGTTGTCGGAGACCTCCCGCGTGGCAGATGGCTTTGACTTGCTCCATGCTCCAGAGCACCATGGGTGGTCTGCGTGAGACAACGCACCTCCCCACAGGGTGCAGGTCAAAAACACAGCAGCTCTGGGGTTCAACCTGAGGGATTTGTTCAGGGGAAATAATCACAACCTCATAAAATGCAAATAACCTGCTTGGTGCACAAAAAGTAACATAAATGCATTGTCACGCCATTAAAGGGGTCATTCATACTTAAAGCTACCCATAATTCTTTAACCTTAAAGGAGTATTCCACTGATTTTCTGTTTCCAGTCATGAAGATTCCCACTCAGCTTGTGAAAACAGCTGTCTAGTGTACTCTGTAGTAGCTTCATCAAGGGAAAGATGATATTGAGCTGCATTATGGGAAGTGTAAGATTCGGTGTATTTGTAACTAAATTCCTGGAAAGCCTCAAAGCAAACTATTAGCTGCCTAATCTTAACCTAAGGTAGGAATAATCCAATTCGGTGGATCGGCATTATAGCCAATACAGATCCACAGTTTTACAGTTTTAATCAGTTCATTTGCTTAACAAGCTTGTGTTGATTTGCAAACCTGCTAGTACTTCTGATACAGCATCATCATCTCATACAGCATCCTCAAACCAGTGAACTACGTCGCGGTGACTACGTCCTGAAATATTGTCTATAGTAGGCACCAAAACAGAGCTAACAGAGCTAAAAGAAGAGTGAAGATTGGACTTGCTATCATCATGTGACACGACTCGACCTTAAACGAATGCTAATTCTTGCTCAGTGTCTGCCGGCTGTGCAAACAGGCAACTGTTTGCTGATAAGTTTGACGACTTTAAGAGGTGACAATCTGCCAGTGTTGCGTACACAGCTTGTTCCACTGCCCCCCCGAGTGGCCCGAGATTAATTGTTTCTGCTTTAACTGTTAGCTAACGCAGTGAGAATTGAATTCATCACCACAGTGTTGGTGTCGTGCTTCTGAACCATCAAGCCATCGAGAATCATTTGGGCTATAGAGAGCTTTGTGTGTGTGTGTGTGTGTGTGTGTGTAACATCTCTGTGTTTCAAAGTGCTTATCTCTGATTATCAGCAGCCGGATGAAGCTGTTGTGTGGGAGTGGGACTCTGTCTGGGTATTAACCAGCATGCATTTTTAATCATCCCATAATCAATGCGTCTAATGAGCCACATTAAGACAGACTGGAAGGCCAAAGGTCACAGCTCAGCTACACTGTGGTGCACACCGTAGAGAGAGCTTAACTTTCAGATCAGCTGCTTCTGGTTGTCTTGTAACCTCTGAGCGCTTTCAACAGTAGCATTGCTTTTTTGAATGACTTTATTATACCTCATAACTTCTCAAACCACATCCAGGAATAGAAATGTTGTGGCCTTGAATGGAAGCATCGGAATCTGGCCGTCGTGTTGAATGAATCACATTAATCTTTCATAACTTAAGTCACGCACGATTGTTTTTTTATTAGTTTGTCCGTCAGCAGGATGTTTGCAAAACTGATGAAAGGATTTTTATGCATACGGGGGAATAGTTAGGCTGTTTGCCAAGGAACCATTGATGAAATGCTGGTGGGGATCCAGATGGAGTGTTTCTAGCATCGGACAGTTAACAATCTTTTGCCATAACTGTAAAACTGAAGGCAACAGAATCAGAAATGCAAAGAGTGTATGTTTGCAGGCACGATGTTTACTTTGACGGATGACCTGGATGATGAAATTAGACAGATAACTGTCTTAAAGGCTGAACAAACATCTTCACAATTGTAAAAACAATAAAGAGTGTGATTCTTTCCAGAGGGGCGAAGATCTTTTTTTTTTTTTTTTTGCAGCAGGACTTCGGGCGGAGCAGCCAAGTCGCCCATTGTTTGCCACGAGAGCAGAGAAAGCCAATTAACTGAGCCAACGGTGGAAAGACACAAGCTTCAGCATCTGCTACACCGACACGTCAACCTCTCTCTCCCTCTCTCTGTCTGTACATCAGTGAGTTTTTAGCTGGCTGTTCCAGCTCGGACAGAGCTTTAATCATCCATCCTCAGGGACCTATGTGTGTTTGTGTTTGTGTGTGTGTGTGCTTGTTACGCCCATGTATGTCTTCCTATATTCTGTTTTGGTATTTTCCTCTTCATCCAAATGCAGTAATGTATCTCAGACAAGATTCTTCCACCAGCAACCCACTGCTTGTGATGGGTACTTTTTATATATATATATTTGGATTTCCAAGTTGAGGTACAAGTGTGGAGAAAAACAAAGAAGTTGACCAATCCTAACAATATTTGTCTGGCAACTCATAAATGACCTGGGGCGATAAGCATTAAAGCGGCACTATTCAGTACTTTCTTTTTTACATAAACTACAGATCACGTGTAATGTGGAAGGGGTTGCCCATGGAGAGAACTCACTCATGCATTTTAGCTTCTTTCAGTTTGTTGTTTGGGTTTCACAGCCTCACTCCTCTCATCAATCAGCTGTTTTCAGTTCACGGCTTGTTCTGCTGCCCCCCAATTGGCCAAAAAAAAAGAGAATCAATCAATGTAACTTAAAACCTCTGTTTTGTAAGATTTAGATAACTTCCTTGAGCCTAATTGATTATAAGTACGGGTATGATTGGGTCACATGCCTTATATTTACGGGATGTGTCTAATCAAGAATGAACTCAGACAGATATCTGCATATGAATGCAGAATCTGTGGGTGACGGGAAGAGAATTTTTGTATTGGAAGCGTTCCATTTGTCGTCTGAGTGGTATTAACCCTTTCATGTTTGAGCGGGCTTTGGTTGCATGCTGGTAAGCAGTCCGTGTGGAGGGCATAAGAGGTGGAACGCATCTGTCGCAATATAATCTGGGAGTCCACTGGCTATTGTCTGACAATGATTTATCTTTTTATCAGCTTTTATTTATTTATCTGCACTCATATGTAGAAGACTCATTTTAGAGATGAGCCATGGACGTCGTCTCTCAACTACATTCTTGCATCTCAAGTTGCTGATCGGACTGTAAACACTGAGCGGCACACAGCAAAGGAAATCTTGGTTCGGATATCCGTTACCCAGACATCCACTGCCCTCACCACATCCCCTGAAATATTGGTCGTAGCACCCAAAAGTCAGATTGGTCAAGGGGTTCCGAGATTGACCTGGAGAATTGCAATTGGTGGTTCAGTTCTTGTTTGGGTACAGGTTTTTTCCCAAATCAAATAAGGTTGGTGAGCCACACTATCTTCAAGAGCAGGTTATGCATAATACATTTAAAAAAACCTTTTAATATATCCGCGTAGAATATCATAAAACTCACAGAGCAGCACATTTACATTTACATCTACAGTTACATTCTCTATTGTAGAGATATGATGATTGTCAGAGCTCCTCAGATCACACCTGAGTTGGCTTGCAGTGACAATATATTCTGTTCAGGAGCTCCGCGTCACGCTAAAATTGTCATGCATCAAAATCAACAGCACAAGCCCTGGCAGTATAACACTTCACTAGCTCGGTACAATCTTTGTGTTGCGATGTCTGATCCAAACAGCAGGCTTCCACGCAACAAATCCAACGTCTTCGCTGCCGTTCCGGCTTCACTTCAATTACCTCCACCGAAGAGGACGGCAGTGTTGGGAAAGTTAAGGATTTCAGCCGTAATGGAAGGTTTTGAGTATCCCAAAATCGTTTGAATGCTATTTCAGGAGCTTTTTTTCCACAAAAGGACATTTGTGGGGGGGAAACTCTTAAGTCTGCTGTTGATTCATGTGATGCCAAGAAAACGGTCCAAATTAAAGATAGTGAATTTTGGCACAAACTGCACAAAAAAAAGCCAAGTTGCTGGAACCTGAATGCATCTGCGTGCTGCACATGTAGGTTTGTGTGTGTGTTTCTGTGTGTGCTCTTGTCTTGGACGTGTGACAGAACTACAGATTTTTTACAGAAATAATCTCTCCAGGATGTCCAGCAGCATCTGACATGAAAACACAGAGAGGGACACGGAGAGACTGGACTACATTTCACTGCTGGGAAAACTGAAATGATAAGAAGAGCTTGTGTGTCTGTGTGTGTGTGTGTGTGTGTGTGTCACAGTAGGGTGTATATTGCTGCAGCAAAGCGTTTTCACATCTGGCCAGACAGTTTCAGTCCAGCGCCGTTAAATATTACATGTAGGCAGTTAAAGAGCTGGAGAGAGAGGAAAAAAAAGGCCCAAAGTGGTGGCCCCTAGAGGCTGCAATGTTCATTACATTAAAAATGTTTGTCCTGGGGTTGGTGGAAAGATCACACCATTATTCATTTTAAACTAATTCCCCTTGGAAGAAGAAGTGTACCCTGTGAATTTAATTTCAATCTGCTTTGTAAATGAATAGTATACAAGTGGAAATAATTATTTGGACTTATTAGGATCCATCCTCTGTGGACCATGAATTTCCACAAGAAGTACCAGACGGTTCTGCCGAGTGAAGCCAATGCTAAAGTGTCTTAAAACTTGCATTCTCTCTACTGACCAGCAGGGGGTGATTCTTCCGGTTGCAAAAAGAAGTCGTATAGAAGTCTGAGAGAGTGACTCTAATTCTCACTTGATTTATTACCTCAGTAAACATGAGTTTATGGTCTCAATCTCTAGTTGCAAGTCTTCTTCAATACAGCATGATGTTCATTTAGTCAATTATGGTCCATTTAGAGTCAAATAGACCATAAAGCAGGGGATGCTTTAGGGCGGGCTTACTGTGATTGACAGGTCGCTGCTGCTACCAGAGCCGTATACGGTGTCTCTACGTCACTTCTCAACATTCCAAATTTGGTGACTTCTGTTGATCAGTTGCCAAAAACAACATGGCGATGGCCATAATCCAAGATGGCGACGGCGAAATCGCGCACTTCGTCCACAAGCCAATGGGTGATTTCACGTACGACTACGTCCGCATCTTGTTTTCAGTCTATGGTCACTATGAACACACAGATGCATTTAGCTGAAAGTCACCAGATAACAAGATAACTTGTTAAATTCAAACCCTAGTGCATTGAACAGATGATGGTTTAGCCAAAGAAATTGCAGAGAAACAAAGCAATTTGCATAAGTTTGTCACAAAAATTACATCGTGGGGAGCAGGAGAAACAGTATTCCGCTCAAGTTGAGCCGTCATTCTCAACCAAGTCCTTCTCCTGCGCTAGTTTCTCCTTAACAAGTGCCAATTCATATCATCACCCGAACATTACCCATAACTAGCTGTGCTGCTCTGTTCAACTGCCTGTCGGTTAAAACCTCTTCGTCCCTGCTCTCCTTTACAAGAGACTATAAGGAAGTATAGTGGTCTAACTCAATGGTATTGTTTATTCGGTGTAGTTTTTGTTGGGTGTGCAATTTGATTTTCTGCTGATGTTGCTGCGTCTGCCGTCTGTGTGTGTGAGCATGTGGTTCATGTGGCTGCCATGCCAGGCTATGTTCAAGTGTCATTTTAAACGTTATACTAAGACTGTTGGTGCCGGTGTAATTCTATCCATACGCTTGATTAATGATGCTGTTGCATCTGTGAGCAGTGTGTGTGAGAGAGAGAGTGTGTCTTGATGCTGTTAATGTTTGTCTTGATGGTACCTAACATCAGCTCTGATGATGATGATGTACAGTATAAGGCCTGACTGATTAAACTGAGGTGCATTCAGGCAAGTAGAGTTGTAATGGGCTATTTTGGTTAATAGAACAGTGTAAATAGTCTATGGCTGGTTTTGGATGGGCTCGGCCAGGGGTTGGGCAACCTTATTTATATGATGTGCCATTTTTAAATATTCTTGTCAATCAAAGTGCCATGTCAACTTTAAGGTGAATATCAAGTTAAATTATGTCACCACATCAAAATTGAAATCTCCAACAGATCCGTGAGTGTATTCCATCCATATAGGCAACGTTCATAGAACATTTTTAAAGAACATTTTTCTCCCATCATCAAGACATTGTAATTATATATGAGAGCACTAAACAAGAACGCTGCCGTCCTTAAGGAAGCATCAGATCTGAGCTTATATCATTAACCCTACCAACATGCCAAGAATGTTGTTCATCAGCAATCAAATTCTGCGAAGAAGGCAACGAGTACTAGCAGCCAATCAGAGGCAGAGTAGGGCCGGTCTTCGCTGAATGTGGGTGGGGTCGGAGACATTATGTTTTCTGGTTGTCCATCCGTCCCATTCTTGAAAACGGGATATCTCAGGAAAACCTGGAGGGAATTTATTCCAATAACATCCACCTGGACTAAAGAATGCACAGATTCGATTTTTGCGGTCAAAGGTCACTGGGACCTTACAAAACACGTTTTTTGGCCATAACTCAAGAATTCATATGCTAATTGTGACAATTTTACACAAATATCCAAAAGGATGAAATGATAAAGTGACAACATTTTTGACAGACATGGATGTAAACTGCAACTTGACTGGTTGGTGGAGGTGTACAACCATGAGGCGGTGATTCTAGTTTGCACTGATGGAGCTCGTTTGTGGAGCAAAGCTTCACCCCACACCTCTCACTCACCATAGTGAGTGAGATATCAAATATATGGTGATATACTGTAGATCACACACAGTCAAGGCCTGGCCCCCATGTCGTTCCAGCTGTTAATGGCACACACACTCCCCATCCCTCCAAGGATGTTGTTGAGATAATGTGGAGAATGGATTTTGTGCTGTTGCATGTTTGAGGGGGTTACTAAGGGGGGATTTGTTCCAGAGAGAGGTCAATTATGCTCTTACTAAGGTAAACCTCTAATGTGTGTGTGTGTGTGTGTGTGTGTGTGTGTGTGTGTGTGTGTGTGTGCGTGTGCGCGCGCGCTTCCCCCTGATAAACCGTTGCAGATCAGTGTGCTGTGTAAGATTTTAAAAGGTTTTAACCAGCGAGTGTTGTCGTCTTTGCACTGATGAGCTGGCAGGTATTAGATCGAGGACTTTAATGAGAGTGGTTCGCTCAGTGTGTGTGTGTGTGTGTGCGTGATTCTAGTCGCTGAAGATGA